GGTAGAAATAATAATAGCAAATATTTGTAGACTGCTATGACTGGGAGGCAGTGTTTCCAATAGTTTACATATATTATTTCTCAGGGCACCTGGATGCCTCAGTCATTTAAGTCTCCGACTCTTGGTTTTGGCTAAGATCATGATCTCACGGTCGTGAGGTCAAGCCCAGCATGGAGGCTGCTTAATATTCTCTCTCTCCCTCTCCCCCTCCCCAACTCACACACATGCTTTCTCTCTCCAAAATAATAAAATACATTTAAAACCCCCATGTATTTCTCATAACAAACCTAATACCCTTATGTTACAGATAAGGAAATAGATTTTTAAAAAATAATTCTTGCATAGTAAAGTTCACTATCTTTTTTGGGGGGCACAATTTTATTAATTTCAATGCAGGTATAAATTTATATAATCACCACCATCATCAGATGGAGAACAGTCACATCAGCTCCCAAAATTCCCCTCCTGTTTTCTTTTTATAATCACCCTTCCCACATCTGTAACTACCAACAACCATTATAACCCTATAGGTTTGTCTTTTTGAGAATGTCATATAAGTGAACTCATATCATACGTAAACATTTGTGGCCGGATTCTTTTACTCAGCATAATGCTTTTGACTTTCATCCACACTGCATGTATCACTACTTCATCTGTTTTTATCGCCGGTTAATACTACATTTATGGATATACTATAGTTCATCCATTCATTCACTGAAGGGTATTTGGGTTGTTTCCAGTTCCTAGCTGTTATGAGTCAGCCACTATAAACATTTGTGTACAGATTTTTGTGCTTCTTTCTCTAATGTACGTAGCCAGGAATGGGAATGTTGGGTCCTATGGAAATTGTATATTTAACATTATAAGAAACTACCAAACTGTTCCTCAGGCTATCTACCATCCTGCATTTCCACTAATGATACATGAAAATTCCTTGTCATCATTTAGTGTTGTCTGTGTTTTATTTTTAATTTTAGCCATTCTAGAATCTGTATTGCAATCTCATTGTGACTTTAATTGACATTTCCCTAATGATGAATGATGTTCAGCAGATATATCTTTAGCTTATTTGCCATCCTTGTATCTTCTCTGCTTAACTGTTTATGTTTTTGTGAAGAAATTCTGCTCCAATGAGACATTTCATTTTGTTTTTAAAGTGTATTCATTTTGAGAGAGAGAGAACATGAGCTGAGGAGGGGCAGAGAGAGGGAGAGAGAGAGAGAGAGAGAGAGAGAGAGAGAGAGAATCCCGAGCAGGCTCTGTGCTGTCAGCGCAGAGCCAGATATGGGACTTGATCCCACGAACCACGAGATCATGACCTGAGCCAAAACCAAGAGTCGGATGCTTAACCAACTGAGCCATCCAGGCACCCCAATGAGACATTTCATTTTAAGTTTTCTAATTTCCTTATTTTGTAGCTTCAAGTTTTTATTTAAATTCCAGTTAGTTAACATACATTGTGATATTAGTTTCAGGAGCAGAATTTAGTGATTCATTACTTACATATAAAACCCAGTGCTCATCACAAGTGCCCTCCTTAGTACCCATCATCCATTTAACCCATCCCCCCTGATTACCTCCCCTCCAGCAACCCTCAGTTTGTTCCCTATAGTTAGGAATCTGTTTTATGATTTGCCTCTCTCAGTTTTCCTCCAATGCTTGTCTGGTTCATTTCTTAAATTCCACATAGGAGTGAAATCATACAGTATTTGTCTCTCTTGGGTGGAGTTATTTCACTTAGGATAATACACTCTAGCTCCATCCATGTTGTTGCAAATGGCAAAATTTCATTTTTTTTAATGGTGGAGTAATATTCCATGCCACAACTTCTTTACCCATTCATCAGTCCATGGACATTTGAGCTATTTCCATAATTTGGCTATTTTTGGTAATGCTAGTATAAACATTGGGGTGCATGTATCCCTTCGACTCAGTTATTTTTGTATCCTTTGGGTAAATATCTACTAGTGCAAATTGTTGGATTGTAGGATAGTTCTATTTTTAACTTTCCGAGAAACCTCCATACTGTTTTCCAGAGTGTCTGCACCAGTCTGCATTCCTACCAATCATGTGAGAAGATTCCCTTTTCTCGGCATCCTCACCAACATCTACTGTCTCCTGTGTCGTTACTGTCAACGATTCCGACAGGTGTGAGGCGATCCGTCGTTATAGTTTTGATTTGTATTTCCTTGTATTTGTATTTCTATTTGCCTGATGATGAGTGATATTGAGCATCTTTTCACGTGTCTGTTAGCCATCTCGACGTTTTTGGGAAAATGTCCATTCATGCCTTCTGCCCATTTCTTCACTGGATTATGTGTTTTTTTGGGTGTTGAGTGTGAGAAGTTCTTTACAGATTTTAGATACTAACCCTTTATCAGCTATGTCATTTGCAAATATCTTCTCCCTAAATGTGAGACAGAAAACCATCAAAATCCTAGAGGACTGCAGGCAGTAATCTCTTCGACATTGGCTATAGCAACCTCTTGCTAAATGTGTCTCCTGAGGCAAGGGAAACGAAAGCAAACATGACCTATAGGGACTTCATCAAAATAAGCTTCTGCACAGCCAAGGAAACAATCGACAAGACTAAAAGGCAACCTTTGGAGTCGTTTTTATGATTTTTCTGACCACTCCTTTACTGTGAATTGAGGATATTTGTGATGAGTACTTGGTCTGATGTTGACGTATATTGTTTTCTTTCAGCATAGCTATGTTGTCACCTCATAATAAGCAAAAGGCGTTGCCATCCAATTCATTAACAGAATATTTCACTCCAGTGTGCCTTAAAAGGAAGACATTTAAAGTATTTTTATTTTTTTATTAAAAAAATTTTTTAATGTTTTATTTATTTCTGAGAGAGAGAGAGAGAGACAGTGTGAGCAGGGGAGGGTCAGAGAGAGAGGGAAACACAGAATCCGAAACAGGCTCCAGGCTCCGAGCTAGCTGTCAGCCCAGAGCCCGATGTGGGACTCAAACACACGAACCGTGAGATCATGACCTGAGCCAAAGTCGGACGCTTAACTGAGCCACCCAGGAGCCCCACCCCAGAAGACATTTAAAGTATTTTTATCTTCTTGTTTTGATGTGATTAGTATGTACTTGTAATAATAGCTAAAACATTATGGTACGGCAGTACGTGTGCTACTGAAGTGCTTGTGATTTATAACAGAGTCACAGTGATTTGGATTGTGCTTAGTACAGAGTCATAAGTGGCTCGGACAGTCTTGGTTACAGCCATACGGTTCTCTGCTGGTGGGGTATGAAAGCAGCCAGAAACAAGACTTCAACAAATGAGCATGGCCAGGATCTAGTAATACCTTATAGAGTTTGTGAATTAATGAAATTTGATTTTTTCCGTATGTCATAAAATAATAGTCTTAAAAATTTTTTTAACATTTATTTATTTTTGAGGGGAGAGACAGAGCATGAGCAGGGGAGGAGCAGAGAGAGGGAGACACAGAATCAGAAGCAGGCTCCAGGCTCTGAGCTGTCAGCACTGAGCCTACTTCAGGGCTCAAACTCAGGAGTGGTGAGATCATGACCTGAGCCACCCAGGCGCCCCATAGAATAATAGCCTTAAAAAAATTTTTTTTCAGCCATTAAAAAAAATCAGTATTAGTCCATTGCTATGAATGGTAAAAACCAGGGGTGCCTGGGTGGCTCAGTCGGTTAAGCCTCTGACCTAGGCTCATTTCAGTTAAGGTCATGATGTCACAGTTCATGGGTTTGAGCCTGTGTCTGGCTCTGTGTTGACAGTTCGGAGCCTGGAGCCTGCTTCAGATTCTGTGTCTCTGTCTCTCTCTGACCTTCGCCCATTTGCACACGCTCGCTCTCTAAAAACAAAGATTAAAAAAATTTGTAAGATGAATAAGGGACGCCTGGGTGGCTTAGTCGGTTAAGCGTCCGACTTTCGCTTAGGTCATGATCTCGCGGTTCGTGGGTTCGAGCCCCGCGTCGGGCTCTGTGCTGACTGCCAGCTCAGAGCCTGGAGCCTGTTTCAGAGTCTGTGTCTCCCTCTCTCTCTCTGACCCTCCCCTGCTCACGCGGTCTCTCTCTCTCCTAGAAATAAATAAAAATAAATAAATAAATTTAAAAAAAGAAGTTTAAAAAAAAAGATGAATAATCTAAGTAAATTTTAAAGATGTCCATCAATCAGTAAACTTTTCAGAAGGGTGGTCTCAGTGTGTAATAATGAAGTAAGCCATCTTTGTCACCCAGATGTCTTACAAGACACGTTTTCAAGGATGGTTTTATGATGAAGATTAGCATCTGATTTTCTCATAATAGAAATTGGTATCATGACAATAGCTCTTTGCTATTCACATGTAATCCTAATAGCAATCTGGTAACGTTGATTCCATTATTTAGATTACAGAAATGAAGCATAGAGAGATTAATTAACCATGGTAAATAGATGCATATATTATGTATTATAGGTAGTATTATATATTATGTTATATATAATATCTAATATATGTTATATCTAATATATGTTGTATGTTATGTATTATGTATCGTATATAATATATATTATGTTATATATTATATATTGTATACAATATACAATATGTATTATGTTATGTATCATATACATGTGTATTCTGTAGCAGTGCCAACATATAGCAAAGGTACAGCGAATACACAACAGCGCCAGGTTTTGGAACTGAATTTTGTGTCCAGTGTCCACTTTTAACCAGTGTATTCCACCGCCTCTCCTTTTCCACATTTTGCAGGATCAGAGCGAGTTCCTTAGGAGCAGAAGGGTTGTGGGGAGAGCTGAGGGTCATTGTGCGGAAGGTCCCACGCGTGCGCGTATCCTGCCAGCATAACCTCACGGCGGCTGGAATCCGGCCCACACTCTGCCCGCTAAGGCGTGCGTGGCAGCTTCTGCGGGCCAAGGGACACCTCTTTCTATGTTGCACAAAGCTACGTTTCCCTCTGTCCGCCTGGCTCCTTTCTTAGTACCTTGTTTTGCCTTCTCAGGTGTCTGCCTTTCCCTGGGAAAAGGAGGAGAAAATGATCAAGTTCCAGGTGAGCTGGATTTTTTCTTTCTGTCCCTGAACCCATCATTTCACTTCTCGGTTAGGGGGACACTCTTTTATCCCTTCCTCGCCAAGAATAGAGAATTCCAGCAGATGTTTAATAGCATTTAGGTGCCACGCACTTTCTTTTTAAAAACTTTTTCCTCTCAGTTTTTGTTTTATTTTCATTTTATTTCACAAATAATAGACATTTTTAAAAATGGGAAGCACCTGACCAGCTAAGCTGAGGGAGTGTGTGACTCTTGATCTCGAGGTTGTGGGTTTGAGCCCCACGTCAGGTAGAGAGATCACGAAAAAATGAAACCTTTAAGAAGAAATTTTAAAAATTATGTATTGATTTGAGAGAGAGCATAAGAGTGTGAGCAGGGGAGGGGCAGAAAGAGAAGGAGAGAGAGGAAAAAAAAAAAGAAAAGGAGCGAGAATCTTAAACTTGGAGCCAGTTGTGATGTGGGGCTCAGTCTCATGATTGTGAGATCATGATCTGAGCCAAAATCAAGTTAGACACTTGACTGAGCCATCCAGGCGCCCCTGCAAAAAAAAAAAAAAAAAAAAAGAAATTTTAAAGATGAAAAAGCCCCCACATTATTCTGCTTATAAATTCCTTGTTTTTCCACAGTTGCTTTACATGCATTATTATACGCAATAATATAATTTTGAATTTTTTTCACTTAAAATTATTGCACCTAATGTTTGTCATCTAATATTTATTATTTCAGTGAACTTCTCTGCCCCCTCTTTTCTATTCCCTATGCACAAGTTAAGTTCTTGAGAATTCTCGCAAGTTTAACACAGCAATATCAGTTTTACTACATAAAATCTTTATGAAAAAGCAGTTCTGAGAGAATTCTAATATACTTTGTCCTTCTGTTGTAGGGACTCAGAACTTGAAAAAAAATTTGTTTCTTTCTAACTGATGCTTTAGGACTTTATAAAAAGAATACCTAAAAGGCGGTTCTGTCTAACAGGACCATACTGAAGCTGAACACCCCTCTCCCCCCAAAAATGTGCAAGATGTTTTCATACAAAAAAAAATGTGCAAGATGTTTTCATACAAAAAGAGCTAGATTTTTTCTTCCCACGACCTGAAGCTTTCTTTGTGTGTCTGTGTATGTCTGTGTCCTTGTGTGTTTCATTCTTCATATTAACTTATTTTTTTAGAGCACTAGAGGTACTTGATGTAAAAAACATTTTAGTCCTACTCTAGGATATACAGGCACTTTCCATCTGTCACTTGATTCGCTGCTCTGAGAGGAATTTAGAATAATCTGCAGTGTTAACATGAAGGTAAGATGTCCGTGGAAGTTAAAGTCCTGTGCAGGTTCCTACAGCAGACAAGCATCTGGCCAACTTCAAAGCACCCCCCCCCCCGCCCCCCCAGATCACGAGTATCAGGTGCATCTGATTCGGGAGGAAAGAGCGGCCAAACAAAACAAGATCCAAAACCAAAGCAGAGTTCTCACGCAGAGACTTAAGGCCTGAGGTTGTGATTTGTGGAGCTCCAGCCGGAACACAGGCACTGTTGAACAGGGCTTCATACAGAGAGTTTAAAATTCCCTACGGTAAAAAGTTACAAGACAAGTAGCAAAGTAGAATGAAAAATATTTACAGCGTATTTGGAAGAAAAGGACTGAACGTCCCCCACATGAATATATTGAATACAACAAGAAATAGAGATGACCAGCAAATACATGAAAAAGGAATGGCCTTCGTTACTGACCACCTTGGCGAACGTTTTTCTAAGTAGCCCGTTTTTACTTCCCTTGTCTACTTCTAAGATTGTCAGAGATTTTTTTTTTAATATTTTTATTTTTTTTTTATTTCTAGGATAGAGAGAGACAGCGTGAACAGGGGAGGGTCAGAGAGAGAGGGAGACACAGACTCCGAAACAGGCTCCAGGCTCTGAGCTGGCAGTCAGCACAGAGCCCGATGCGGGGCTCGAACCCACGAACCGCGAGATCATGACCCAAGCGAAAGTCGGACGCTTAACCGACTAAGCCACGCAGGTGCCCCAGAGATTTTTTTTTTTTTAAAGTATTCACGTCCAGTGTTGGCCAGGGTATAGAGGTTTAGGGATTTATACGTGGAAGATGAATAAGCTGGAAAAATCTTTTTGGCAGAAACACCTGTCATTCTGAGTTTAAAGCACTAAAAGCTGTCATTCAGCATTACCGTGTCTCCTTTTTGGAATTTATTTCAGGGGGACGATCCTGGGTCTATGTGAAAGGAATTTTTTGGGCAACATTGTTTATAGTAGATAAGCCGAAACTAAGCCAGCATGTGTTGTTTGGATCAGTCCATTGTATCCTAGGCCATCCATTCCTTGACTTAGGATACAGCCCCGTGACGGGATGAAAGTGATGGTAAGGGTGATCATGATAACGGGTAACATCTCTTGGGCGCTCTGTGCCTGGCTCTGTTCCGAAGCACATTACCTGTAGCCGCTTGTTTTGCTATGAGTACCCTTTGCTGTGGGTGTCAGCATGCAGGTGAGAGAATGAAGAACTCATCCAAGGTCACATAGCTAACATGGGGCAGAGCCCCCCAGCGTCAGTACAGTCAGGCTCCAGAGCCGTGCCCACACCACAGCATTATAAGCGCTGCACACTCCAGATGGGCCACAGAGGATAAACTATACACTTCAACAGTAAGGGTGACTGCTAGTCTGTAAGTTTGGCAAATTAAGTAAATCGAGTGTGTGTGTGTGTGTGTGTGTCTGTGTCTGTGTCTGTGAGAGAGAAAAAAGAGACTCCATCACACACTGTTGGAACTAAAGCTTTTCTGGGGCAAATGGCGTTCTTTCTTTTAATTAAAAAAATTTGTTTAATGTTTTATTTACTTCTGAGAGAGAGAGAGAGAGAGAGACATCGTGAGCAGGGGAGGGTCAGAGAGAGGGAGATACAGAATCTGAAACAGGCTCCAGGCTCTGAGCTAGCTGTCAACACAGAGCCTGATGTAGGGCTTGGACCCACAAACCATGAGATCATGACCTGAGCCAAAGTTGGAAGCCCAACCGACTGAGCCACCCAGGCGTCCCTAAAAAAATTTTTTTTAATAATTTTTTGAGAGAGCGAGAGAGATCATGAGAGGGGAGGTGCAGAGAGAGAGAGGCAGACACAGAATTCAAATGACATTCTTAATAAAATTTAAAATATCAGTAGCTCATGATGTGACAGTAGACTGTCCAGAGACTTACCTATAGGAGTGCTAAAAAGAGGAAGCTATTTATTTGTTTGGCAGCAACTTAATGTGCAAGGAGTTCTTTTCTTATAGCCCTTCATCCATAAACATGGTATGCATGTGTTTGGTGTCGTAGGAGCCGGTGATGTTCAAGGACGTGGCCGTGGTCTTCACGGAGGAGGAGCTGGGGCTGCTGGACCCTGCCCAGAGGAAGCTGTACCGAGACGTGATGCTGGAGAACTTCCGGAACCTGCTGTCTGTGGGTGAGGACAGGCACGCGGTGACCGAATGCCAGCCCCCTCAGGTGTCTTTACGTGCTCAGGTGTTTGAAGCTCTGGGACTCTTGAAACCATCCTCTGAGCTTGGCCAAACGAGAGTCCTAATCCCTGTAGAACACAGACAAGATGTTTCTGTCTAGGCAAAAATCCGTCCTTTGAACTATGTAAATGGGTAAATTGTAATCCTGCGACATTTTTTGTCGTGAAATCAATTTAGTGAGTAGCTCACCTTCTTTTTTTGTTTGTTTGTTTTTTCTTTTTCCAGGGTACCGGTAGCGGCAACTGTTTATTAACTTGATGTTGTTTCAGGGTCTCTTTGGTTTTGGTTTTTTGGGGGTTTAACAGTGTATTCATAGGCGCCTGGGAGCCTCAGTCGGTTGAGCGTACAGCTTCGGCGCAGGTCATGATCTCATGGTTGGTGGGTTCGAGCCCTGCGTTGTGCTCTATGCTGACAGCTCCGAGCCTGGAGCCTGCTTCGGATTCTGTGTCTCCCTCTCTCTCTGCCCCTCCCCTACTTGCACTCTTTATCTCTTTCTCTCTCTCTCAAAAATAAATAAACATTAACAAAATTTTTAAAGAAGTATGTGTAAATAATTTCAAACTTACGGATCATTTGCCAAAGTAAAGTAAAAGTCAAGAACACCCCTATAGCTTCTCCCTAGATTCACCTGTAGTAACATTAAACCCCGTTCATTTTTTTAAATTTACGTGCATGTTCTTTCTCTCTCCATATATATTTTGCGTATATATGAAAACATATGTATATGTGTGATAATTTTTTCTGAACTATTTGAGGGTAATTTTCATACATCATGGCCCTTTACCTCGAAATACTTGAGTGTATATGCAGAATTTGGGAGTCCCCAAGACTACTCTTAGTCTGACACCTTTGGCAAGCTCAGGGGTCCCTGCGATATCCCTCGGGCTCAGTAATTGAGTAGAGGGACTCTCAAAATGCCCTGAAAACTGTTTTCCCCACGGTTCACTTTGTTACATGGAAAGGATACAGGTTTAAATCAGCCATGGGAAGAGGCACCTGGGGCAGAAACCAATGGCTCTCGGAGTCTCTCCCAGAGGGGTTGTGCGCAGCACCCACTCTGCCTGGTGGTGGCGGGCCATGGTGCACGTGGAGTATCGCCACCCAGGGAGGCTCGTGCAAGCCAAGGTGTCCAGAGCTTTTATTGTGGTTCGACCACAGCAATGTGCTTGGACACCTGGGTGGCTGACTTTAGTTTCCAGCCCCTCTGGAAATTGAGCTGATAGCTGCTGGCCCACAGGCCCCACCATAAGTGACACTGTAGTCCAAGGCCTCTAGGTAAGAAGGACACTCGTACCAGACAGGAATCCCCAGACTTAGAGATCACTTCACAAGAGCTGAGGACAAAGAGCAGACATCTCTTCAGGCATGGTTAATTCTTCATGAAACAGTCTATTTTGTGGAAGTAGGAATATTCTCTTATGTATTTCCAGTGGAGATATAATACTTTTTTATTAATTAAAAAATTTTTTTAATGTTTATTTTTGAGACAGAGACAGAGCGTGAGTGGGGGAGAGACAGAGAGAGAGGGAGACACAGAATCTGAAACAGGCTCCAGGCTCCAAGCTGTCAGCACATAGCCAGACGTGGGAGTCAAACCCACGAACCGTGAGATCATGACCTGAGCCGAAGTTGGACACTTAACTGACTGGGCCACCCAGGCTCCCCTTTTCTTTTTTAATTTTTAAAAAATGTATGTTTATTTTTGAAAGACAGAACATGAGCAGGGGAGGGGCAGAGAGAGAGGGAGACACAGAATCCCAAGCAGTCTCTGGGCTCTGAGCTGTTAGCACAGAGCCCAAACCCACAAACCATGAGATCATGACTGGAGCCAAAGCTGGACTCTTAACTGACTGAGCCACCCAGGCGCCCTGAAAGTATAGTCTTTTCAACAGAGGGTGCTAAAACATTTGGACTTCTGTATGGGTCTATATCCATGCCTCACACCTCACCAAAAAATTAACTCAAATAATTTTTTGGATAAGAGAAAATGTAAAAGCATGAAACTTCTAGAAGGAAACACAGGAGAAATTCTTGATGACCTTTGGTTAGGCAGAGAGTTCTTAGACACCAAAAGCATGATTCAGAAAAGGAAAAAAAAATAAAGTGATCCATTGGATTTTGTTAAAACCTAAAACTTTTGCTGTCCTTGCCTTTCTACAGGGAATCAGCCCTTCAAACCAGAGCTTATATCCCAGTTGGAGAAAGAAGAAAAGTTGTTGATGACCGAGACAGAAACAGAGAGAGATGGGTGTTCAGGTAAGAGCCGCCCCGCAGTAACACAGCAGGTAGAGAGCTCTCCTGAGACGTGAGTCAGAACATGTCAGGCCCTAAGGTGTCTGTCCCCTCAGCCTCCTCTGGCTTTCCCCGTATCCCCTGTAGTTTATCGCCGCTCATCCATTCTGTTCCGCACTGCCCTGTTGCTGCCCAGGAGACCCTTCATGATCCTGCTTCTGCTTCAGCTCACTTGACTTGCTTTTCTTTTTGCCTTGAATGAATGACTTGGTTATGAGAGGCATGGTCCTTGCTGTCTTCAGTCCCCCTTGAGACAGCCGGGAGGCATAAGATAAACCCGCAGAATCGAAGGATACTCCAGAATGTTGTTTGTTTTCTGATGCATGCCTGTCCTGATTCTAATCGTTAAGGTGTCCTTGAGTATAGATGCGTAGCCGTTATTCTTAGAAGATTGAGGCTAGCCAGTCAGCCAAAGTCAGTACGAAAAGTGATCCGTGCCAACATCGCGATTGATCCTTCCCAAGAAGCCGTTTCAACTGAGACACTCTTGCACTAACTTCCCCCTGAGATGCCCAGCTCTTTATCTTTCCATTCTGCCCTCTCTTTTCCTCCAGCATCTGAACAGCCTCTTGACCTCGCTACGGTTTTCTTAAAATTCTTTTTTTTTTTTTTTTAATTTTTAAAGTTTATTTATTTATTTTGAGAGAAAGAGAGAGTGAGCAGGGGAGGGGAAGAGAGAGAAGGAGAGAGAGAACCTCAAGTAGGCTCCACACTGATAGAGCAGATTCAGGGCTCCGTCCCATGAACTGTGAGATCATGACCTGAGCCAGCTCAAGAGTTGGCCGCTTAACCAGCCGAGCCACCCAGGTGCCCCAGTTTTCTTAAGATTCTTTTTAAAAAAATTTTTTAAATGTATATTTATTTTTGAGAGACAGAGTATGAGTAGGGGAGGGGCAGAGAGAGAGAGCGAGACGCAGAACCCGAAGAAGGATCCAGACACTGGGCTGTCAGCACAGAGCCCATGTGGGGCTCAAACCTATGATCCGTGAGATCATAACCTGAGCCGAAGTTGGAGGCTTAACTGAGCCACCCAGGCACCCCTTAAAATTCTTATTCAATTTGTTTAAACTTAAAATAACCCCACAAAACCAGCAGTTCCCCTATTTCTCCACCCCATCCCTGTCCTCTCAAAACCGCTGTCTGTTCTCTATATCTGCAAGCTTGGTGTTTTGTTTTTAAATTTCTTCATATAAGAGAGATCATATGGTGTTTGTCTTTGTCTGACTTACTTCACTCAGCATAATGCCCTCAAGGTCCATAAAGCCTTGTTGTCACAAATGGCAAGACTCTTTTCTTTTTTATGGCTGAATCATATTCTATTTTATTATTTATATTATGTATATTTTTATTATGTAAATTTGTTACATGTTCTATATTTGTTATATATGATATGTGTTAATATATCATATAAGTATATATAAGTATGCATGTAAATATCACATTTTTTATCCATTCATCTATCGGTGGGCACTTACTTAGGTTGTTTCCATATCTTGGCTATTGTGAATAATACTGCAATGAACATGGGGGTTTGTATGTCTTTCCAAATTAGTGGTTTTGTTTTCTTCAGATAAGTACCCAGCAGTGGAATTACTGGATCATATGATAGTTCTCTTTTTAATGTTTTGAGGAACCTCTGTACTGTTTTCTGTACCAGTTGCACCAGTTTACGTTCCCACCAGCAGTGCACAAGGATTCCCTTTTCTCTGCATCCTGGTCAACACTTGTTATCTCTTCCTGTCTTTCTTGACACTAGCCATTGTACCAGGTGTGAGCTGATACCTCATGATGGTTTGGATTTGCATTTCCCTGATGATGAATGATGTCGAATATCTTTTCATGCACCTATGGGCCATATGTATGTCTTTTGGAAAAATGTCTGTTCAGATCTTCTGTCCGTCTTCTAATTGGATTGTTTGGGGTTTCTTTCTTGTTGAGTTGTGAGTTTTTCATACATTTTGTTCATTAGCCCTTTATCAGTGATACGATTTGCAATGATTTTTCCCGTTCAGTAGGTTGCCTTTATTTGATGGCTCACTTTGCTATGCAGAATCTTTTTAGTTTGATGCGGTCCCACTGTTTATTTTTGCTTTTGTTGCTTTTGCTTTTGGTGTCAGATTTAAAAATCATCATCAAGAGCTATCTTTGTCAAGGAGCTTCCTGCCTGTGTTTTCTTCTAGGAGTTTTATGGTTTTAATCTTCTGTTCAAGTCCTTATCCATCTTTAGTTAATTTCTGTGCACAGTGTAAGATAAGACAGTTGTCCAGGTTCCTTGTTTTGCATGTAGCTGCCCGATTTTCCTAGCACTCGTTATTGAGGAGACTTCTTTCCCCTTGTATATTCTTGGATCTTTTGTTGTAAATTGATTGACTATATGTGTGTGGGTTTTACTTCTGGGCTTTCTATTCTGTTTCATTGATCTGTTTCATCTTTTTTTATACCAGTACCATACTATTTTAACTACTGTAGTTTTGTAGTATAGTTTGAAATCAGAGAGTTTGATGCATCTGGCTTTGTTCTTTCTCAAGATTGCTTTGGCTATTTGGGATCTTTCATCATACAAATTTCAGGGTTGTTCTCTTTCTCTGGAAAATACCTTTGGAATTTTGTTAGGGATTGCATTGAATGTGTAGAATGCTTTGCGTACTGTGGACATTTTAACAATATTGATTCTTGCAATCCATGAACATGGAATATCTTCCCATTTACTTCTTTATTTTTCAATTGCTTTCATTAAGTCTTGTTTTCATTAATTTTGTGTCTTGTAATTTGTCTAATATATAAGTGTTACTTCCTCAGTTACATTTATTCCTAGGTATTTTATTCTTTTTGATGCAATCGTAAATGGGATTGTTTTCTTAATTTCTCTTATAGTTTGTTATTAGTTTAAACAAACACCCAGATTTTTTGTGTATTGATTTTCTTTATTCTGCAACTTTACTGAATTCATTTATTCTAACAGGTTTTTTGTGTGTGTGTGGAGCCTTTAGGCTTCTATATATAATATGCCATCTGCAAATAGTGACAGTTTTGCTTCTTCCTTTCCAATTCAGGTGCCTCTTATTTCTTTTTCTTGCCTAATTTCTCTGGCTAGGACTTCCAATACTATGTTCTATAAAGTGGTAAGAGTGGACATCCTTGTTTTGTTCCTGAGCTTTGAGGAAAAGCTTCAGCTTTTCATTGTATGATATTATCTATGGGCTTTTCATATATAGCCTTTATTATGTTGAGGTATGTTTCCTTTTTATCCACTTTGTTGAGAGTTTTTATCATCATTGGATGTTGAATTTTGTCAGGTGCTTGTTCTGCATCTATTAAGATGATCATAGGACTTTTATCCTTTATTTTCTTAATCTGTTGTATCATATTGACTGATTTGAGAGCGTTGGACCATCCTTGCATCCCTGTAATAAATTCCACTTGATCATGGTGTATGATCTTTTTAATGTATTGTTGAATTCAGTTTACTAATGTCTTGTTAAGGATTTTCACATCTGTGTTCATCAGGGATATTGGCCTATAATTTTCTTTTGGAAGTAGAATTTTCAAGTTAGACATTTGTGAGTCCAGCCATTTTAGTAATACCTCTTGAGTCCTTAAGGCTCTTGACGTCAAAAGCCATTGTTAAAACTGTAGCTAAGGGTTCTCCTGGGTGGGCAAGAACCAGTAGAAATTTTAAGAGCAAACTAGTTCACTTCTATAATTTTTGCTGCCATCTCAGTTAAGATTCAGGGTCACACATGCTACAATACATTCTTTATTTATTTATTTAAAAAATTTTTAATGTTTTATTTATTTCTGAGAGAGAGAGAGAGAGAGAGAGACAACGTGAGCAGGGGAGGGGCAGAGAGAGAGGGAGGCACAGAATCTGAAACAGGCTCCAGGCTCTGAGCTAGCTGTCAGCACAGAGTCCGATGCGGGGCTCGAACCCACGAACAGCGAGATCATGACATGAGCCAAAGTCAGACGCTTAACTGACTGAGCCACCCAGGTGCCCCTACAATATATTCTTTAGATACAGTACATCCTTTATATTTTTAATATACTAATTTTTAAATTTAATTAACTAATTTTAATATACTGATTTTTCTCTCTCATGATACCTTGGGGAAATACCACCCAGTCTGAGATTATAACTTTAAAAAAATCATGGGTATATAATATTATGTGGCTATAACATACATCATTTAGCCATTTTTTTAGGGTACCTGAGTGGCTCAGTCAGTTAACGTCTGACACTTGATCTCAGCCCAGGCCTTTATTTTTTTAGAGACAGAGTGAGCGAGGGTAAGTGGTAGAGGCAGAGAGAGAACATCTCAAGCAGACTCCAGGCACAGCACGGAGTCCTTTGCAGGGACTGGTCTCATAACCCTAGAATCATGACCTGAACTGAAATAAAAAGTCAGACCCTCAACTAACTAAGCCACCCAGGCGCTCCCTCAGCTCAGGTCTTGATCATGACCTGAACTGAAATAAAAAGTCAGACCCTCAACTGACTAAGCCACCCAGGCGCTCCGTCAGCTCAGGTCTTGAGTCGGCTCCATGCTTGTGTGTGAAGCCTACTTAAGAGAAAAAAAACAAAGAATAAAACATATATAGCACATCTTCTTTGTCCATTCATCAGTCGACAGACATTTGGGCTCTTTCCGTAGTTTGGTTATTGTTGATGATGCTGCTATAAACATCAGAGTGCATGTATCCCTTCAAATTAGTATTTTTGTATCACTTTTTAATTTTTTTATTGTATTCCTTAAAATTACTGTTCTTACAGCCACTGTCTTAGCAGGTTCCCCATGGAGAAATATTGCCATTTACATTAGGAAAGAGAAAGATGTCAATTATTTATTGATTAATAATTAATTATTTACGGTTTCTAAGCTATTATTTCCTTGCAACATTTTCTAAGTTACACCCCATCCATCTTGTCCAAAGTCAGCATCCACATAGATGAGTATGTATTTCTT